TTTTACTGCCAGATAGCTTCCAACAGCGAGTTCCTTTCCTCATCATGCTCTTCCAAGAGCATAAAGACTGCAAGTTCAGCATTATAGGGTACAATATTTTATGTATTTTTTCGTCTTTGAGTGAAGTGACCATCACGTTTTGGGCCACACTGCTCCCAAGCGTCACTTCAGGCCTGCAACAAGTTTTCATTTCTGTTGGTGTTATTTTATTTTGATATGCTGGCTTGAGTGTGTGCACAGAGAGAGTATGGACCCACCTTTGTGTCACTGAAGTTGAATTTGGGTTATCCAAATTTCCATACCAAACCTAATGAGACATTTTAAAGTAATTGTAACCCGGCATTTTACATAATTCTCTGTTTTAGTTTTCAAGATAATTTAATTCAACTCAGTTATTTCTGAAACTGGTCCAAGTCAAGGTTGGGGTATTTGATGACTAAGTGTTACATTAGCGATTTGTAAGTGTACTAAATTTGTTACTTTTGCAATACCTGCATTTGATAGTTTTAAATATAGGTATCCTAGTATTTTAAAGTTCATCTAACAACACTCAAGAGACTAAGTAATATTTGACATACTCTTATTGGATTAAAGTTGTTTGGTTTAAAGAACCCAAGGTGCTTACCTGGCACGGAAAGTACGGGTGGGCTACACAATGATTGCAAAGGATTTTCTTCCATATTTTTTAAAATCATCATTGTATTTAAAATTCTGTTTGTGTGCCCAGTTAGTTTCGATCCTCTTTAAATAGGGGGTTATTTATTTAAAAAATGCTGTAATTTACAGCTAATCTAAAACTATTGATTATTAAGCCCCTCGAATTAAAGCTGAAGGTCTGTATTTCAGTTTCATCCTGATTGATTTTAAAATCCACTGTGGTAGCACAAAGAAAAATGACATAAATTTGTCATCATCCCAAAAAATTATGGTCCTAACTGTATGCTACTGTGTTTGCTCAAAATTGGTGGTACTTATATATATATCATGAACTTTTAACCATAGTGATAATATCTTGATCATATAAGAAAACAAAAATACACATACATATGAGAACATGAAGACAGCACTTACGTATAACTATGACCTCAACCCCTGTCCTCAAAGTCCATGTCACTCCTCCCTCAATTATTTGTGTGTCACAGAAAAATACTCCAGTATCCTTTTCATAGACTGGTTCGAGATATAACACCTCTCTGACTTCCCGGGACTGCCTGTGTTGGTCTGAAACCTTCTTTTTATTCTGTAAGAAAGCACACTTTGACACTGTGATTTCAATGTTTAGATTGTGAAGTGGTTACTACTATCTTGTATGGACCTCACCTTGTACCAAGTGACATTTGTGTTGTTACTACAGCCGAAGCCTGGGCAGGAGATGTGACCACCAGCACTCACAATCAGGATTTTAATGCTTTCATTACGCCAAAGGCACCTCATTTTCTCCACTTGCAGACGGAAGAACAGCTTGTTGCCACTGGATAGCAGAGACACGAACAGGTAATAGAAATTTGTGAAGCAGCAAGTCATTTACACTCATTGAAAACAATTTATTTTGCATTTGAAGATAGTTTTAAAAAAAGGTTTTAAACAAGTTTTAATTAAATTACTGCACTCAATGAACTGGGCCGCATTCGGATTTGTGAAAGGTACTATAAATGTGAAGTTTCATTGACTAATGATAACATTTAAACATCTCAGAGGTGTGACTCACACTTTGACACGTTTAAAGTGAAAACAGGTTTCTCATGTGTATATCTGTTAGTGGCTGAGAAGAGGTGTCTTGCTGAAACACCTACAGTGAAAATGATGAGGGTGAAACCCACAGACATCTTTCTATGCTAATAAACTTCAATCTGACATAAGATGACCACTGACAGGAAAAGTGAATAACACTGATTATCACTTCATCGTGGCACCTGTTAGTGGGTGGGATATGTTAGGGAGCAAGTGAACAGTTTGTCCTCATAATTGACGTTAAAAGCAGGAAAAATGGTCAAGAGTAAGAATTTGAGTGAGTCTGGCAAGAGCCAAAGTGCGATGGCTAGACGACTGGGTCAGAGCATCTCCCAACCTGCAGCTCATGTGGAATATTCCCGGGCAGCAGTTAATATCAAGTATTATCACTTCACTGGTAAAACCAGTGACAGGGTCCTGGTCGGAAGAAGTCGAGTCGACAGAGGCAGTGTGATGCATTTGGATATGTTTTGCTGGGAAACATTGGATCCTGTCATCCATATGGATGTTATTTTGACACGTACCACCTAACTAAGCAGTGTTGCAGACCATGTACACCGTTTCATGGTATTATCTGATGGCTGTGGCCTCTTTCAGCAGGATAATGCTCCCTGCTACAAAACCAAAATGGTTCAGGAATGGTTTGAGGACTGATTTTGAGGTATTGAATTTGAGGAATGAATTTGAGGTATTGACTTGGCCTCCAAATTCCCCAGATCTCAGTCCAGTCAAGCATCTGTGGGATGTGCTTGAAAAAAAAAAACAGTCCAATCATTGTAGGCCTTACCTCATAACCTACAGGACTTATATAAAGACTCCTTTGTCTGTGACTAAAAAGAGAATGACAAGACAAGATCCATTAATTAAGTTGTGCAGAAAGGTGGGATGATTTGCAGTGTGATCCACTCAGAGGCAGTCATAGTTTAGATTTCTAAATTATGACTTAAAATAAAGAAAGAGTTAATAAAATAAACCAAATGTCAGACAACACTGCCAGATACCACAACCCACCTTCAGGGGTTTAGAGGAATCCATGCCCTGGTGGGTCAGGGCATGGATTCCTTGATTAAACAGTGATTTTTAGTAACATTTGGCATTTTGTGCTATTTTTATCTGAGTCCTCGTTAGGGTCTCTATGGGCAAGAGAAACAATTACAGCAGCAAAAAACAAAAAACTGTTCCAGGGTGCAGTGTCTTTAAACATGCCTAAAATAGGAACAACATATCACTGTATACAACATATCAGTACTTGAACTTAGCATTATTTACTTTGTGAAACATGAATAATTTCCAGAATGTTTAGCTTCAGCTATAAATAGTTTTCCACAGTCTAGGAATTGCTCTTCATTTCTTCCTCCTTCAGCACTGGAACTTGTACTCTTCATATCCACCATCTTTGAACAGTTACAGTATGGCATCGTAAAGTTTTGTCCCTCCTCAGCTTTGTAGTGCTTCTGAAGATCTGGACACAGAGATGAGTCGTGTTGTTGTCATATTTCAATCTAAAATAGTCACTCTTCACACTTCCTCTAAAAAAATGCAACATTTTAAAACACTTCTGCTGTAATCTATGATATACAATTTGTATTATGATAAATACCTGATTTGTTTGTTTGATGATTTGCTTCACAGTATCCCTTCAAGGAAAGGTGTAGAAAAAACAGGAAATATGCCGTTTCCATGCTGCGTCTTCGAATCTGAGAAAGCCGGTTGTTGGTGTCAGGCGTCACAGTGATGGAGTTCTTAGTATTTCCTATTTTTCATGTTCTTTCTTCTTCTTTGGTGGAAAATCTTGCGGTTGAAGCAATTCACAGGACATATGTTGCAGCATGTGGTGTCATACAATTTCCTGTTTAGTTACACCCGAACATCATTTCACTGGAACTCACTCTAATATTTGAGTTCCTGCTACTTCTTAGCCACTTCCTGTGTGAACAGCAGAACAACATTTGTCTGTAGGCTTATATTTTACTTGTGTTTTTAAGGGAAACCCTGTTTGACAGAGGTAGGGGACCCTTTCAGGATTTAGTGCAAAAAATAAATAAATACATAAATAAAGCAAACCCCAAACACAATTTTATATATATAATTACCACTGTATGATCTTTTAGAACAGATGTGTTAAGAACTACACATCATCTGTTGAAATGGTGTGATCCAGGCTCATTGTTGTTGCGCTGCTACATGCACATACAGGTTTATGATGGTATCTGCTGTGTGGTGGCATGCATATTTATTGGGCATCATAGTGGAGATTTATGTGTCAGGGATAAGGATAACCTTGAAGCTTTAGGGAAAACCTAGATGACAAGAATCACATCCAAAAGGACTTTTCTGCTATGTGTGCATGGATTCTTGAAAGCACTGGAAACAGTTCGCTGCAAAAGGCAAACCGCAGCCAATATCTACTTGCCACAGAGATTTAGGTAAGATCTGTGGTTAAAATGGGAATTCTTTTTTTTTCACATTTCTACCTGAAATATATATTCAAGAAATTTGACTGTTACTGTGAACCTTGTACAAACTTCGAAACTAAAATTATCCTTGCATTATGTGCGACAACAATTGTAGTAATTATTTCCTCCAAACCATCAGTGTGTCTTTTAAACCCCAATCCTACAAAACTGCTCAAAGACGTCTTACCATTAATTAAAGCTTCAATCTTAAATATGATCAGCCATTCTCTATTCTGTACCACAGGTCTTCAGGCTGACAGTAGTTAAACCATTACTTTATACGAGCACTTAAAGCACTTTATATAACTTGCATCATTCACCCATTCATGCAAACACTTTTTTCTACGTAAGTGCTTTCTATCTAACATTCACACACATTCATACTCCAATGGATGCATCAAAGAGCAACTTGGGGCTAGTATCATGGCCAAGGATATTTGGCATGCAGGAATCAAACCACCAACCTTTGGATCAGTAGATGACCTGCTGAGCTACAGCCACCCCATAAAGACCTCAATGACCTTTAATTTCTTGCTTTTAAATTCAGACAAAACTGAGGTTATTGTACTCAGCCCTAAAAACCTTAGAAACATGTTATCTAACTAGATGCTTATTGTGGATAGTAAATACCCTAATCTCCACATGCCACGTTCTCAGTAAGAAATTTTAAAATGGTCTAATTCATGGACACTGGCTGTATTCAGAGTATTTTATGACCACCTTTGTAGACCTAAACCTGACAACAAGATTATTGTGTTGGAATTACAGTTATTAAAAGAAACAGGGGAGCAGTAGAGGTTTTTGTGTGTTTTTATTCAGTCCTTTAATTGGAATTTTGTGCTGTCAGCGTTAATGACGTTAATGCCATAACTGCATTAATGCGGCAAATATCCGTTAGGGAGTTAGCGCGGATTGCCCCGTGGGTGGGGCTGCAGGGCGTCAACAGGTTAGTGTGGTTAGCTCGTTAACGCATTAGCGCCATGCAGCCCCACGCACGGGGTGAGCCGCACTAACTCGCTAACGGAAAATTGCGGCATCAATGCAGTTATGGCGTTAACCTCATTTTAACAAGATTAACGCTGACAGCACTATTGGAATTATATTGACTATACATACATAAGGTAGGATAAAAATACATTTATTTTAATTTTATTAATATATAAGATGAAATGTGCTTTGAACATATTTGGCCAAAAGGCACAGCACTATGTTTCAGTAAGTGCAAGCAGTATGTACAAGCGAGGAAAATAAAAACTGGACAAAGAGTAGGATGATATGGCATTGGTAATAATAAATGAGAAAAGTTCAAGTATGAAAACTAGGATTTACATTCACTGAAACATTATGAAAACAGTACTTGGACTGAACTCATCAGGAGGAACAGCCTAAAGGCTGATTTAAAGATGCCTAATAACACAACAAGATGAAGCAATTTTACACATAAACTTCATACATTTAAATTCTCTGTAGCTTACTAAAACAGTTGCTGGTATTGTCATACTGTACAGAAGAAATGTTTGCAAAAACAGGAATAAAATTGATTAAATAGAATAAAATAACAATGCCGAATTAAAAAAACAAACATAAATATTAATTTGTCTTAAACTCAAAATATAAGCTGTTGGTGATGTGTGTAAACTTACTCATATGTTAAGACCAGATAGAAGTTATTAATTCTGACTTAACTAAACATTTTATCATGAAGTAACATCCTGGATTGTCTGTGGTAAAAGCTCTACTGTTGGCGCCTGCTGTGGTGCAGGAAGGTAATATCGTAGCTGCTTCCAGAAGGAGGAGGAAGTCGGCATGGAGCTTATGCCCTTCCAGGTGACGCAGTTCCCAGCCTTACTAAGAAGCTGTAAAGCCTCTGGAAAGGAATCCGATTTTGAAGCCATTGATGTCTCAGTGGTGATGAAAACCAAGCGAGTCTGCCGCTCCACAAGGGCTTCGTGGATCGCACTCAGCAGGCCAGATTCTGGATCAGGGTCTGGAGAGACGGGAACCAAAACTACAGCCCGGCTCTGCTCTACGCAGTCTAGCACAGCGTCTGCGATTGCTGCAAACAACCAGATTTCAGAATGCAAATCAACTCATGAATTTCTATCTTTATTTATGTAAGTAAATGTTCTGCAGAGGATCCTTCTGAATCCATACCTTTCCCTGGTAAGACGTCACGATCATAAAGACAGAGACTGTAACCAAATTTCTCTTCCAAAACACTCTCCAGCCATCTTTTGTCGCTAGGATTTAATCCTCCAGCCGTGTCGCATTTGTAACACATTACAAAGGCATCATAGCATTTTCCATCTGAGCAAAGAACAATAAACTCCGTCACTGTTGTTGCTTTGTCTGCAGCCCACACAAAAAGCACAAATGCTTAAACATGTGTTGTCAGGTAAAAAGAAACAAAAAGCATTTCTCTCACCTGAAATGCTGCCAGACCACTTAAGAGTGTCTCTTAGGAAAAGAGTGATGTCAATCTTAAACTTCACATAGGTAACTACAGTCACAAATGTCACCACAACAATGATGACAAAGCAGACACCAAGAGACGTGTACGAACGGGAAGCTGCAGGGAAATAATGGGGAGGTTAAAATGATCAAATATCAGCTACTTAACTCTTATTTAATTGTAATAACGTGAAAGATGCCTTTTCAATCTGTCCTAATCATGCTTAACTTATATTTTAAATTGTTCAAAAAAAATACTCAAATGTTCAGCTGGCCATACCTTTTTGTTTTAGAGTGATAGTGACAAAGCTTGTTTGGTAGGCAGATTGCAGTTTACAGGTATAGTTTTTTGACAGATCCTCCTCTGACACTTTTCTGAAGATTAGAGATATTGTCATGCTGATTTCCTCTGTGCTGATGACCCTGAGAAGAGAAGGAAATGACTGAGGCAGATCTAAACGCAGAATTCATATCTGTGCTGATGTGACTACATATAACATCAGTGTGACCCACAGAGGACTTGTGTGTGAAATATTTACTGTGTATCATTATAGAAAACTGGTAGACTAGTGTCTGTCTCCACAAATGAATTTCCACTTAACCAAACCAAGCCATCAGTGTCTGACATCATAACTGCTTTACAATCAATCATCACTGTTGAACCTAGAAAAAGCAGAGTTAACACAGATTGTTATAAATGATTAACATTAAAGCTTTAGCCAAGAGTGTGAAGGTGTATGAATATAGACAATAACTCACCTAAATCTATCTCAAATACCTGCTTGTTCTCTGGTGAAATTATCACTGCTTTCTTAGTTATTTCTGTGGAAATAAAAAAAAAAAAAACCCTTTTGAAAAGCACATATTAAAATCATTAAAAATAAATATCTGCAAAATGTGTTTTTCTTACTGTTTGGTTGGACATCAAGTTTCACCGTAGAGGTCATGTTATATATTTGACCATCATACAGGTAAGAGCGGGTGCAGGTATAGTTGCCACTGTCCTCTTTTTTCACACTTGGGAAGTAACCGTCTTTTGGTGATGACCCGCCCTCCTACAACATATAAGACATATATTTTTAAGTAGTCAGCTGTCAAATTTGGAAAAACATTAAACCCCTGTAACAATATTTTACAGTTTGGTCTCATTCACATAATCTGCTCTGTTTACCTTGTGCCATGTGATGCCGCTTCTGGTGATATTCAGGGTGTTAAAGCGAACATTTTTTTCAGGGCAATACAACTGGCAGTACTCCTCTGTGTAACATACTTTGGAGATCTGGTTCATTTGTTCAGAGTCTCTGGACTGCCCTGTGTATACTTTGAGGATTATCCAGGACTGTCTGCTGGAATTCCTACCAAGGAAAGAAAACAGTAACAAGAAGTTTTAACTTTCATTCTGAGCAACAAGCAAAAACAAACAAACAAACAAACAAAAAAACAATTAATTTGAAAGTAAGAGAAGATTTAAAGGATTATTTCTAAAATGATGTTCATCTACTAAGTGGGGTATTTGTCCATCAGTATTTATTATTAGCTGAGAAAGTTTTGTGCTGCAAACAGTGAAATGAAACTAACATATCTGGCATTCTGTATAAAAATCCCTCTCAGCTTCGCCTTCAGTAATCCATTCCTTTAATGCTGGATTACTGAGAGGCTCTTCTCTGACCCACAGAAACCCGATGACCTGTGATACACTCGTGATTTTGTGTATCTTTGTCTTATTTTATTTTATTTTATTTTACCTTATTTATTTTACTCACAACAAAACTCAGAAAACACAACCAATATTTTGAGTGAGAGCTACCATTTCAGGAAAATTGAATTTGATGACATGTCTCAACAAAATTGAGAGAGCCGATAAAAGATTGAAAATGAATTGTTTCTAGTGTTACATCTGCAATTTTCAGAAGAATGTCCCTCCTAAAATTGCAGAGACTTATCATCGTCTACATAATATCATCAAACATTTCTATAAATGTGAAGGAATCTATCTCTGTGTGCCAGGGACAAGGACAAAAATCAAGATTGAAAATGAATTAACCATGGAAACGACTACATGGGCTCCACTAATGCAGGTTAAAGCAACACCATGCAGAGAAGAACATAATTGAGAGACGCCACCATCTTCTTTCACTCAAAGCTCTTTTTCAATGCACTGAGACAAAGTGAAAAACTGTTCTTTGGTCAGATGAAACAAAAGTTGAAAGTCTTTTTTGCAGAATATGATTGCAACATCCTACCACCATTTCAGTTTTAACAAATGAATAAATGTTTTCTATGTTCTACTTTGAATAAAATATAGCTTTGTCCCAGCTTTTTTGGAAATCTGGTTGTGCATTTTTCTGAGCTTTCTGAATTGGATCATCACAGCTCTGGGGAAGAAGTTGTCTCTCAATCTGGTGGTGCATTTTATTATGCTGGTGTAGCTGCAGGACGAAAGACTGGTGCTGCTCCTCCAGGGGAGATGTACAGTCTCTTTGCTGCTGGATGAGTCAAAGCATGCAAAGAAACTGTTCAAGGTGTCGGGGAGAGCTGGATGATGACTGGCCTGTTGGTTACTGTGTTTACAGTCTGTTATGCTCCTGATGCATCTGCACATATATTGTGGGTTGCTATTTTTTAAGAACTCTTCAATGCGCTGTTTGTACCTTAACTTTGCTTGCTGGATTTGTTTTTTTCAGTTCCCATCCCTGTTATAAGCCAGCCTGTTACCTGACCTGTAGGTAGCATCTCGAGCTTTGCAGATCAGAGGTTTTTAGGCTGGGATCAGCTGCACAGAGATTTGGTCTGTGCAGCTGACCAAATCTCTAAGTGTGGAACTGCCACTGCCTTGTATGCACCTGAGATGTTACAGTAAACCAGGAGCAGAATACTATTGTCTCTTGTTGGGAAGTTTATGAATTTGGAAATTTGGAAACACTGCTTTTAGTTCCACGTAGTTGAAATCACGAGCCACAATCACAGCCGCCTTCGGAGTTGCATTCATGTGCCTGTTGATCAGGCAGTACAGATCCTCCAGGGCTAATTTAGCATTAGCCCACCATTGAATATAGGCAGCTACGATCAGGATGGAGCAGAACTCCCTAACCTATTTGAATGGTCTGCATCTTACTGCCAGATGTTCTAGGTCAGGATAGCAGCATGTACCAAACAACCCACCGTCCATTTTCATGCTCTCTGGGTCTGCTCAGTGTGTATTTTGAGGCTAATCTACTTGCTGGAATTCCTGTCAGTGTTATCACAGAGATATTCAGAGCCTAAAGCTAATTCCATCCTTTAAATACAGTCTGCACTTTGTAATTTCACATCCATGAACTTGCTGACACACAGCAGTAGCAGAGGTAACACAGTTTCCTGAAATACTGCTACTATTTTAAAAACTGTGAATGAGATATCTGCTGCAAACAAATCACTGCCTGAATGACTCATAGATTAAAAATGCACGTGCTTAAGAAAATACACTGAAATATGAAAGTTTAACATATGATAAGTAAGGTCAGTTATGTTATTACTGTATGAGTGCTTGTATCTTACTTGAGAGAGCATGAGTAGTTTCCCTCATTTTTCTCAGAGGCACTGAGAATCACAAAGATTCCCTGTTGAACCATCACCCCCATCTGCCTGTGCTCAGCTGCAGGCGTGTTGTTGTGTAGATGCATCCCCTGCTTGGTGAAACTTCTCCAGAGTGTTTCATTATGATCACACTCCTTGAAGAACTTTGCCACAATTTCCCCTTCTTTGACCCATATTTCTTCGGGAATCTGGGGACAGACACCTGCAAAGTGAAATAATTTCAGCGTGTCATTGATTAAAATTATAACATGAACTAGTTCGGGGCTGCTTGAACAAAATGTTTGAGTATATCAGACAGAAATCTGGCTGATATAAAACTTTTTTTTTTTTAAGTCCCGGGGAACATGTGCTTCCTGCCTATCGATAAAGCTTGCACGTAAACTCATTGCTCTGTCTCACTATCAGCCAACATATCAACAGACATTATGAACAAAATGAACAACATGATTTAGAGATTTCGTTTTGCTATGCCTGTGCAGTTTATTGGCTATGGTTTAGTGAATCGTTTACGGTCTAGGTCAGGGGTCCCCAACTCCAGGCCTCGAGGGCCAGTGTCCTGCAGGTTTTAGATCTCACCCTGGGTCTACACACCTGAATCAAATGATTAGTTCATTACCAGGCCTCTAGAGAACTGCAAGACATGTTGAGGAGATCATTTAGCCATTTGAATCAGCTGTGTTGGATCACGTGCACATCTAAAACTGAAGGACACCGGCCCTCGAGGCCTGGAGTTGGGGTATCTGGTCTAGGGGTTGATCCTAGTCCTCTGCAGAGCCTGAACGATTGATGACATTTTTTAACTCTGAGCAAAAACTGAGTTAATATTACTTTGAATGAGCCCAGTGTTCACACTCTAACATGTTCTGCTAGAAAACATGTTTCAATGTGTTTTTTGTCATTATATAGCTTAACAGATTTTGTTGTTTAATTATCTGTAATTGCAGTGATACCATAGAGAAGCATCAGTCACTCATATATATTAGTAAATGTCATCACTTTCATTTATAAAATGATATTAGTCACAAAGGCAAACCTTGACTGTTTTATGTATGTACGTGCATGCTCTTTTTTAGTGGTTACAGGGCACTGCAAGATAATCATGCTTGCTATGAGTCTGAGATTTGAAGATGAACATTGATCTATACCAGATAAGCACCCTTCAACCATAACTGGCAGTGTCACGGAGAATGCAATGATACGTGCAATAAAATAGTCAAACATCTTGCAGCTGACGGAACTGAGCATGGAGCAAGAAAATAAAGTAATTAGCAAGCCAGTGATGCAAAACACATTCAAATGCTTATTTCTTAGATAGGGTGTGATACTGGTGTACTATACTCTGCGTTTTCTATCTTCTATCCGTTAAATCGATATTAAGATTGTTATTATTTAGATAAAATATATTTTGCATTTCTCCACTACGTCTATTTTTCTAAGCGCAGTAATTACGTTAGGTTACTTAATGCTTAATTTTCAAAACAACAGCTAAATGAAGAATAATGTGTTGTCACAGGGAACCATTGGAGTTTGTGGCTTAAGAAATACTTACATTTGCTTTTAAATCTTCCAGCTGCAAAGATAAACTGTCACAAATTAAATTATCACAAATCAATGAATCAGTTATTCTAAAACCGATTATTTTGTAACATTTGAAAATATGCTTTTCCATAGGTTCTTTTAAATTTATTTTTTGGGTTTTTTGCACACAAATAACTAAGAAAGCAGTGATAATTTCACCAAAGAACAACCAGTTATTTGAGGTAGATTTAGGTGGGTTATTGTCTATATTCGTACACCTAAAGCTTAAATTTTAATGAGTATTCAAATCTGTGTAAACATTGCTTTTTAAGCTCAACAGTGGTGATTGATTGTGAAGCAGCTATGCTGTCAGACTTTGATCACTTTTTCTAGTTAAGAGGAAATTCATTTGTGGAGACAGATACCAGTCTGCCAGTTTTTTTATAATGATACATAGTAAATATTTCACACACAGGTCCTCTTTGGGACTTTGGTCAAACTGATGTTATATGTGGCCACAATCAGCACAGGTCTGCTTCTAGATCAGTCTCAGTCCTTTCCTTCTCTTGTCAGGGACAATACTGCAGAGGATCAAACCCAGGGACAACAACATCTCTAATCTTCAGAAGGTGTCAGAGGACGATCTATCAAAAAGTTATATTCGTAAACTGTAATCTGACTTACAAACGAGTTTTGTAAATAAAACGAACATTTATGGCTCATTATTTATGACTTTGTAATTAAAACCTTCGCAAGTTTAGCAGGATTAGGTCAGACTGATATGAAAGCCATCTGTTAGTTTATTACAGTTAAGTAAGAGTTAAGGAGCTGATATTTGATCGTTTTAGTTTCTAATTCTCTGCTGTGTTACACGTATTTCCATCTCATTACATAATTAGCATATTATATCCTCCTGTCCCGAGGGAATGACAGTTAGCGACATTGGTCTCTTACCTGATAAAAATGTGATGAAGATCAACGACAAGATCATCGTGGTATCCTTCGGCAGAACACTCCAAGCCCTCATTATCTGCATCGAAAACAGCGGATGATGCAATTCTGCTGTACTCCAGATGTGAATTAACCAAACCAAAAATGCGCAATGATGAAAAGAAGGGAGGGAGGTAAAAAGAAACTGAAGGAAAAGCCCCAAGTTGCGGGTGCAACAGCCCCGCGAGCTTCACTGCTTTTATGATGTATGATATCTTTTCAACACAAGTGTTGCTGCGTCCCCTAAAGCCGTTTACATCAAACTACAAGAAACTGCAAGAACGCAAGTCTACCATGTGCCTTTTCCCATAGCCTTTATGTCATTGCGAAAGCTAGGACAATGTTTTTTTCACACCATTTCAGGTAGGTGGTAACCGCTGTGACATGAATCTCATGGTGTGAAAACCCCCCAACTGTTTCTTTCAACTAGCAGTTATGTGTTTATATACTGTTTTCACACACACACACACACACACACACACACACACACACACACACACACAGGAAAAAAATAGCATAACTCTTTTCATCAGCACCGTGGACAACACATATACTGCAGACACATATATCTAAGCTTATGCTCTAACCGCACATCATCGTTTTCAACTAATCTGCCAAAGGCCCCAAAACACATTTAGGGACACAAAGGAAACTGTGATATTTACAAGGAAAGAACAAAAGAGGAAACCCCGTTAACCCCAGCTCCTCACAGACTGACTGTATGGGGTCACATTTACAAGCATACTCATTTATTCAAAGATCATTTCCAGTGTATTAGTTTCTAATGACACACACATAACATTTCCGTATGAGCGCATATTTTCAGCGCATTATTTAGCATTAGTCATGTTTCAATCCTTTACAAAAACACAGAAAACTACTCACCTGCAACAGTTTCATCTTTCAGTCCTTGCGCTCAGCAAAGTCAATGACAGCACCACTCAGATCCAAAGCCCCGGTGGGTTCTTCTTCCCCATGTTAGCGCCACTTTATTGATTTGCTTCGCGATACATAATTTAAAACGATACACATGGCTAACAAAAACCCCCAAAACAAAACAATTGTTGCACAGTTTGCGGGCATGTTGCATAGATGGCAGGGAGCAAGGTCAGGAAGTACAGTGGGGCAAAAAAGTATTTAGTCAGC